GACCCTTGCTGTTTCATGTGGACCCTCCTCCCCCGACTCTTCCTGTGCCTGGCCTCCTGGCTCAGGTCTCTGCCCGGTGCTGCCAGAAAGGCCTGTCCCCTCGCTGTCTGAACTAGCCCCTGCCACTCCCTGTGCTCTGCCAACCTGTCTCATTTTCCTCCTGGCACTTAGTACTCTCTGGACTTACCTTATTCGTTATTCGTTATCTGCTTCCTCAGCATCAAGACATGCATGCCCCGAGCTGAAATTTGCACAAGGTTGGGGGCCGTCCCTGTTCTTATTTCGTTTTATCTGTTGTTTCTTTGTTTTCCTCTTTATGTTTTGTTTTGTCTTATGAATCCCCAGGGGCCAGGCAGGGCCGAGCCCACAGCGGGCCCCTGATACATGCTGAAGGCAGGTGCTCAGTGGTCACCATTCCCTCCATGGGTGGTTCTGACGCTTTACTGTGCTGAACGCTCACCTGAGCCACTTGTTTAAGATGCATGATCCTGAGATTCTGACTCACCTGAGCCACTCGTTTGAGATGCGTAATCCTGAAATTCTGACTCGCTAGCTCTGGGTTAGGACTTGGAAATCTGCATTTTTAACAAAATCCCCCCCGCGATTCCTATTCGAGTGACCTGAAGGCACACACGGTGCCAAACGCTGCCGTCCAGGCTGCTCTCGGGGCAGCTCCTGGCACGCTGCCTCCCGGGCGGCTGCTGCCTGCTGGGGACTCAGCGGCTTGATGATTTACAGATCTCCTTCAACTCGAGGGGCTGGAGCTCAGACTCCCACCTAGCTCTGCGCCCTTCTCCAAAGCCCTGTTCTCTGGCGTGGTACTTCAGACACACACAGGGTGTTTCTGTACATGTCCCTATCTGACTCACAAGACACTGGATGGAGCCAGGAAGGGGCCTCCTGGCAGGACACCCACTTAGCTGCCAGCCCTGGGATAATGTCACTCCAGATGCCTGGTGACTAACCCGTGGCCCCAAGGGCATCTCTGGGTGGGGAAGGGAAGTGGTCCGGCATCTCCAGAATTTAAAAGCAAACATCTCGACATGATTAATGAAAGCATCTACTACACTCGGGAAATTCAAATAAAGGCCAGGACTTGAGGGATGGAGGCAAGGAACAGTGGCCAGTAGGTGTACTCGCAAACTTGACCATTTAAGGGCATGGCTTCCAGAGCCTGAGACACAGTTGACATTCAAAATGATGCTTGACCTTGGGAAAGCAATGAATCACAAATCTCCAGTGCCCGAAGGCAGAGCTTCCAACCTCTGTGAGCCCCAGGGCGTTTCTGTCCTGAGAACAACCCTTTGGCCAACGTCAGCCATTTCTGCCAGAGGCAGTGACGCTTCTTATCCTAGGAGCTGACCTTGTGGGGAGTGGTCGGCTTCCTGGGGAAGCCCCTGGGCTGAGGAAGACTTAGCGTCTCGAATGGGTCTCGGCTGGTCCCAGGTTTGGGACGACCAGTAAATGTGAGATCCAAACATGGGGACAAGTCTTGGCGTGTGGAGACAAGGCCAGGGAGAAGCAGACGCCGGTGAGCAAGAAGGGCGTCTGACTCGTGCTGAGACCGGCGTAGCAGCCCCGAGTACCGGGCCATGCGGGCAAAAGCCGTTCCCTGTCTGTTCTCCCACACGCGACTCACGGCACCTCTGACACTAGACGTGTGGGTTTCCCTTCCACCCAGCAATTCTGGACACCAGCTGCGCTTCCTACAATGCAGTTCAATGCTGACACTGATAGGAATTAGTGCAGACCCCACGGGTTAAGGGCTCAGTCCCGCAAGACTGTCCCCTCTTCAGTGCCAGTTGCGGGTCCAGGTCGTCACCTGTGCTTCTGACCAACCAGCAATACATGGAGGTTCCCACGACCCCCTCCTCAGGTTTTGTAATGTGCTAGAGAGGCTCATAGAACCCAGAAAAACAGTTAACTTACTATTTGCAGTCGATTACAAAGGATGTTCTAGAGCAGGGGTCCCCAAGCCCCGGGACGCAGACTAGTACCAGTCTGTGGCCTGTTAGGAACCGGGCCGCACAGCAGGAGGTCAGTGGCGGGCAAGCCAGAGAAGCTTCCTCTGGATTGGCAGCTGTTCCCAGCACTAGCATCACCGCCTCAGCTCCACCTCAGATCATCAGGCATTAGAGTCTTATAGGAGCACTGGTCCCTGGTGCCAAAAAGGTTGGGGACCACTGTTCTAAAGGATATGAATGAACAACCAGAGGAAGAGATACATATAGTGGGTCCAGAGTGTGGGGGCTTCAGTCCTCATGGGGTTGGGGTATGCCACCCTCCTGGCATGTGGGTTTGTTCACCAACTCTGAAGCTCTCTGAATCCTGTACTGTGGGATTTTTATGGAGGCTTCATCATGTAGGCATCGCTTACGAACTCACTTTCCAGCCGTGCTCCCTGCTCTCGAGGATGGGTGTGTGGCTGAAAACTCCAAGCTTCTAATTATGGCTTGGTTTTTCTGATGACCGGCCCCCATCCAGGAGCCCACCAAGAATCACCTCATTACAACAAAAGATGCTCCTGTCTCCCAGGAAATCTTAAAGGGTTTAGGAACCGGGTCAGGAACCAGAGTCAAAGAGCAAATAGTAAAACGAAAGATGCTCTCAGCAGCCCTGTTCATAAGGGTTTTAGGAGCCCTGTGTCAAAAACGGGACAGAGACCAACATGTATTTTCTATTATTTTACACAGTTCCCACCCTCAGCGCCCTAAGCGAGCAGCTCGTCTCATCTCCCTTCAGAGGCAGAATGAAACAGAAGAGCACTTGGCTTAAGACCCCGTCATGTCTAAATTGTTAGGGGGCCTTGGGCAGCTACGGCAGTGAGAAGACCAGCAGCCACTATGGCAGTGACAGTCGCCATTCAGCACAGGCCAGGGGCTGGACTAAGCCCTTTTCACACATCATCTTGTTTCATCCTAGCACCGAGAAGGGCGGAGGCTTCGGAGTTGAACAGAGGTGGGATTCTGCCCCTTAGGAGCTGGTGACCTTGAACATGTCATTTAACCCTTGGGGGCTTGAAAAACAGCCATTTATTTATTCATTTCATAAATCTGCTATCTGGGCAGGGCTCGGTGGAAGAGCTTTGCTCTACATGGTATCGGTCAGTATGGTCTGCTGGAAAGCTGGCATCTGGAATTCCTGAAGGCTCAGGCACTCAGAGTGAATGGTGATGCTGGTGCTGATGCAGATGCAGAAGCTGATGCTGAGAAACTGATGCCGAAGCTGATGCTGATACAAATGCAGAAGCTGATGCTGATACAGATGCAGAAGCTGATGTGGATGCTGGCTGTCAGCTCAAAGAGCTGGGGCTCCTTGGGCAACTCTGTCTATCTCTGGGTGGTCCTTTTTCATGGTATGTTCAGATTAGGGTGGCCAGATTTCTTATGTGGCAGCTCAGGGCTTCAAACTTCCTCTTTTATCGGAGTGTCTTTGGATATCCTAATTTTTCTACAATATACATATGAGTAAGAAAAATAAACATGTTATCAGTATCCGCTTGCAGCTTGTGCCATTGCACAAGGCCTTGTACCCAGAAGGGCCTTACACTTAGCACTTTCACCATCTTAAAATTCTTTGCTTCATCTTTGAACTTGTGTTTCGTAAGTGAAGTTCATCGGGACAAGGGAGCACCTGCGTGAGCAGAGGAGGCACGCGCAGTATGTGCGTCTGCTGTTCCTCACCATCCATTTGCACGTAGTGTTCGCTGTTCCCCCTGACTTCAGAATTCTGGATGCCCAAGGAACCTTTTCTTACGTGTGTCACTTCCCGGTCGTGGTCAGCCTTTTACCCTGAAAACGATGACTTGGAAGGAAAGGGCAAGACCACCCATCTCTAATTCCTTCCCTTTCGGTCCCTCCTTGCTCATCAGTGAGCAGAAGGTAGAGAGTGTGGGTAGAATCTGCGCATTTCGAGAAGTGAAATACAAACGGTCGAGTGAGTTTCCCGCGGCCTTCACACTGTCTGGTGAGGGTGGAATGCACAGCTTTTGCGAGACACGAAGCTCAAGTCGTGTGATTTTGATGATCCTGCGTGTGGGTTAAACGTTCTTGGATTTGCATTTAAAATCAGGGTCGTGCAATATAAAGATGGACAGTAAAAATGCATGCCAATAATTTAAAATTACAATTTTTTTCTATACCTCGAATGACATTAAATAACAAATAAAAAAACACCACAACCAGCCAAGAGAGAGACCGCAGAATAAAGGAAACACCTTTATATTTTAGGATCTTTAGTGGCGCTATTTTTCCCCTGCTTTTTGAACAAGGACCCTGCGTCTTCAGTTTGCACCAGGCCCCAGAGGTCACGCAGCGAGTCCCGTGTACCCTGTAGAAAGAGACAAGGAAAGAAAAAAGCAGGGCACAGAGCAGAGTGTGGCGAGCGGGAGGCTGGCTCCGAGCCCAGGCCTCGTCTCCTCCCACCCAGATTTGCAGAGAGGAAGGAGCTGGAAGATTTGTTTGCACTCGGTTCAGTTAATCAAGTGGCCGGGTAGGCATCGGCAGTAACTTAGACTTTATCACAATATTTTCTTTGGCTCCTGGCTTCACCTTGAAGGTGAAGTTTGGTGAGCGGGAGCAGCAGCCCTGAGCTCACTCCCTTGGGTCCTTCTGGAGGCCTGCAAGCACAAAGAAAGCTCATTCTTCTGCTCTTACAAACAATCAGGCCCTTTCCCTCTCCTATTTATTTTTTCATTTTAAGTACAATTTAGAAAGGGCCGGGGACCGTGACTCAGCCCTGCCTCGAGTCCCTTGGAGAGGCTGAGAACAGGAGCGTGGGGCCCCGCTAATCTCCAGGAGCGATATTTATGACCCGCTGGGAGGCGAAAGCACACACCGCTGGTTTTCCTGTTGGAGCAGCCAGGAGCCGTAGTGTGGGGGACCCCGCCACCGGGTGGCCCCGGGGTGGCCCCGCCTCTCCCGTAGGGATGGCGTACCATTAGCTTAGCTTCCCCAAAAGGCTCCTAGGCTTCTGGGGCAGACAAGGGTAGGAAGCCAGTGTGAGTGTTGGTGCCAGCAGAGCCCTCAGGCACCTTCCCCTGTCCTCAGCCCGAGGACCAGATGGCAGGAAGCATACTCTGTAGGGGAGCCTTGTGCCTGGTGGGCCCTCAGCCATCAGGAGGAAAGGAACTGGGGGAAGGGACTTAGGGAATTGACTCGCTGGGCCATTCCAGAGTTTTTCCTAGCACAGCCATCCAGCACACACCCGGATGGGGTAGGAGAAGGGGCTTGGCTTTGCCCTTCCTTGGGGGCAAGTCTGAATTCCAGCTCACAGTCTCTGATGCACCTCCCTCGTGTGGCTGATGCAGGGTGGGCGGAGGCGGGGGCGTAGAGGTGCTCAGTGCGTGTCAGTTCTCCTTATAATCGAGATGCACCAGAATCTAAAGTGTCCTGATTGTTAATTGTCAGCGTGTCAGAGACTGCTCTTTGTCCCCCACGCTGGTTTTCTTCGTCTTTGATAATAGTATTCTGCATCGTAGCTAGGCTTGTGGCCATCCCGAATAAGCTGCACCTCCAACAGCTGTGTGTGACCACATGACCAAGCTCAGGCCAAGGGGCTGAGCAGAAGTGACGTGAGCCGCTGCCAGGCCTCATCCTCAAAAAGTGGGCACGCCTCCCCTGCCCTCCTGCTGCTGGCCGAATGCAGAGCCAGATGAGGTGGACCTCTGGAAGTCACTCTGGGAAGCAGGCAGAGCAGGAAGGGGGAACCTGGGTCCCTGGCCCCATGGAGCTTCTGTAGCCACCTGCCAGTCCTTGAACTTCCTGGCAGAGAGGTATAAAATGATCTCTTCTTTAAGCTGCTGTTATTTGGGGGTCTCCAGGTCAGCCCCTTGAACTGTACCCTAACTAATTCCTTTGGCAACTATCTCAAGTTTTAAAACTATTATGTGGGCTGACACCTCGTGTGCCAGATGAAACCCGTCGGCAGGTTTGGCACAACCTCTGCCCTCGATTTGGAAACCTGACCTGGGAGAATGGGGCAAGAAATAAACCAGTTTTGTGAGGATCAGTGTATAATAGTAATAATAATCAAAAGCTCAGTAATCTGTTGCAAGCCGTCTGTGCCGAGGCTGGGGCTGAGCCCGGACTTGGCTTTGCCAGCTTGCAATGGATTATTGAGCTTTTAATTGTTATTACTATTATACATTAGTCCTATAAGGCAGACCCTTTTAAAGATGAGGGTATGAGAGTTGATGGCCTTAAGTATGGACCAAGACAAGCTTCATCTGCGGTCAGTAAGGATCTTTGGTTACCTGGGCCAGCAGGAGGCCATGGGGACCCCTGGCGTGATACTTTCTATTCACCCACCTCCCCGTGTCAGAGACGAGGCTGGGGTAGAGAGGGAAGGGGGCCTGCGCCTGCACAGATGCCCAGTGAGTGGCAGCCTTGGGCCTTGGGGGAGGTGTCACTGCAGGTAGAGAAGCAGAGAGAGCGAATATGCTAGGGGATTTGCTCACTCACGGGCTGGGTGCCAGTACTCCCTCCGACTCCTTCGTAAGTGGCCTTGACGGGAGAGATGGCCAAAGGGCCCCCGGGCTGTGTCGTGATGGGGTGGGGGGCCTCTCAGATGTGGAGGCGGCCCTGTTCCAGCTGTTGCTCCTGCACGGCTGCTTTTGAGAGTCCCCTGGCCCCAGGCCCCCATCAGCACCACTGACTCATGTTTCTGTTGTCACAGGAGAGCCACTCTCCCAGACAAAGCGAGAGGCCTGCGGTGTGCTCATGGGCAGCCGCAGATGAGGGGTCTCTGAGCCACCAACTGCAGCAGAGCAAGGACTGTTGTTTAGCCAGATGAGAGAGGTTGAAGGGATTAGAAGTCTATCCCAACAAGCTGGAAAAAATAAGACATTACTTCCCAGGGCATGGGTTTCACCCTGCGCTGAACCTCGTAAGTGTTTCGAAAACGGAGGCAGAGGACAACATGTAGGAACAAATCCTGGCTCTGCCACTCACTAGCTGTGTGACCTTGGATGACTTACGTACCCTCTCTGAGCCTCGACGTCCTCATCAGTAAAAGGGGGGTGGTAGGAGTAATTCCCTTGCAGAGCTGTGAGGATTAAGTGAATAGTAAATTCGTTGGCATCATGCGTGTTGGATGAAACACTGCAAACGTCTCCTGCGATTTTCCGATGAAGGGACATCCTTAACTGCGCATCAGTTTCCTTTAGCTGCTGTAACAAATGAGCATAAATTTAGCGGCTTAAAACAACACGAATGTTGTATCTTGAGTTCTAGAGTTCGGAAACCCTAAAGTCAAGGTGTCAGAAGGCTGACTTCCTCTGGGAGCTCTGGGGAGAATCCACGTTCTTGCTTTTCTTGAGCTTCTAGAGGCTTCCTCCTTCATCTTCGAAGCCACCAACATCTTCCTATCTCTCTCTCTGACCTCTGCTCCTGTCACCACTCATCCTTCTTTGATTCTGACCCTTCTGCCTCTCCTATAAGGACTCTTGTTTCTATATCCGGCCCACGCACATAATCCAGGAAGATGCGATCATCTTCCCATGTCAAAATCCTTAAATTAATCCCATCTGCAAAGCCTCTTTTGCCATAGAAGAAAACATAATTATGGGTTCTAGGGATTAGAATGTGGACATCTTTGCGGGGAGGGGAGGGCAAGAGGACATTATTCTGCTTGCCATTATCAGTGATGGTGACTTTTAGTTTTTTGAAAAAAAATGGGCCTAAGAAGACATCTTAGGGTGGCTGTTAGGACTGTCATTGTTTAAGACATGTGCCACAGAGGCCCAAATAACAGTGGCTAAAGCAAGATAAATTTCTCTCTCAAGGTTTGGGCTGAAGTGGCCTACCCACTCAGACTTCCTTCTACCTGAAAAAAAATGAACCCTTGGTTTGTTTAATCCTCTTTGCTTTGGCAATTTGGGGTCTCCCTGGCCTGCCCGTTGGCTCTCTTCCGTTGTATCAGGAAAGCTTGCTGGTAGGTGTGCCCTGTCCAGCTATATATAGCCCCTGGCTCATTCCACCATCCCAAGAAGCAGCTGGTTGGGGAGGGAGACCATATAAAGCTGCACAGGAAACTCATGCTTCTGACAGACCTTAACCAACTTGATCCTTTATTTGTGAATGAGTAACAACATTCACAGGATCTCAAGACATTTGGAGAAAAACATCACAAAAAGGAAGGATCAAAGTGGATAAAGTGAACACTCTCCTCTAGAATAAACAGAGATAATTCAGAGACGAGAGGGAAAATTATTTTCATCCTAGTTCGTGTCTTTAGGAGGATTTGAGAGGCCGTTGCGTCAACGAGTATGTCGTGAAAAGGACTAGTCAGAGAAGAAGAATCGTTCTTGAAAATGAGAAATATGATTGATTGCATTTGAAAATTTCAGCCAGTGGGCTGAGAAATGAAACAGACACGGCCAACGATAAAGTTAGTAATCTATAAGACAGCTGAAGAACCTTCCCAGCACGTAAAGCGATAAGGCTGGAAAATATAAAAGTTGAGACAGAGAGGATAAATCCCAGAGTTCCACCCTGTAAAATGGGAATTTCAAAAGAATGGAGGGGAAGAAACAATGAAGGAAATGAGAAAATTTCTCTGTATACCAGAAAAGATGAGTCTTCAGATCACACAGCTCTACCTGGTTACAATTTCAGCGCGTACCTACAGACATCAGGGGAACCTTTAAAACTGTAAGAGGGGAACCTTTAAAACTCTAAGACCAAACAGGCTACCCTACAGGCTTATGGAAGTAGTAATTCCAAAAGTGGTAAACGACCAAAGATTGAGAATCAGATGAACACCAGACTTGTCGTCTACTCAGATGCCAGAAAATGATGAAGACATGGCTTCCATGTTCTAAGGGTAAAAGATATTCAGTCTAGAATTCCTTAGATAGCTGAACAAAGTAAAGGTATTCTTAGGCTTTCAAGAATTTAAACATTCACAATCCATGTACTCTAAGAGTCTTTGTGAAGATCCCGAAAAAAATCTGAGAAAGAGAATGGCATACGCATTTTTTTTAAAAGTAGCAATTGACAATTAAATAGAAGGGGCAAAGAATACTAGACCCTTGGGAGAGTCTCAGATTCACGTTTCCTTCTCAGGGCTCAGTCACCCTGAGTTCCTCAGGGGACACGATTTCCTTGGTCATGCTGTAAGTGCTGTTTGTTGGTTTTCAAGTTTTAGAGTCAACCTATTGACAGTTCAGAGAAGATTTAGTTCTAAATTCTAGAACAGACTAATGAGAAATCATAGCTAACATTAACTGAGACTTATTATATAGCAGGCGCTGTTCTAAGCACGTAGCATGAATTAACACGCTTAATCTTCATGACAGCCGGGGGGAGCAGAAACTGTCTTCATCCCCATTTTTACCGGTGAGGAAACTGGATCACAGAGAGGTTAAGTAACTTGCCCAAAGTTACACAGCAGGAAGTGGCAGAGGAGGGATTTGAATTCAGACAAAACTGACTTCAGGGTCCACGAAGTAAAAATAATATAACTCACGTGCATGGAAGGGAAGGGGGAAGAAGAGATACAATACACTAGTTTTCTTATCTTTCGCTGTTAGGAATCATTCAGTACCATCTAAAGTGGGTAAATCAAGTCGTAGACGTGGGCATATCATTAAAAGTAAACTTCACCATCGGAAAAACAAGAAAACCCAAAGCGAGAATTGACACTGCTGGGGAACAGGCTTGCAAAGAAGACATTGTGTGTTATACTTTCATTATTGGAGTGGAAGGTGGGAGGGGACTTCTCATGTGCATATTGAAACTAGTTCAATTTTCAAAAAAAAAATATTCTCTGAAAGGCAGGGAGTCATCTTGACCATCCTGAGCGGAAGTGACACATTTCGGAATAAAGGTCATGGTGGGGTCTGGAGCCGACCTCCGGCAGCCTGCTCAGCCTCGCCCTCAGTTTGTCCAGTCCAGCCTCCCTCCCACTCCCAGGAAAAGTCTGTCTGGAAAAGTCCTCCAAGTTCAGAGCCTTGGCAGACACAGCATTCTGAAGGGAGCCCCAAGACTCCTGGGAAATGGCTGATGGCCCTTCCCCCAGAGAGCAAGGGTATTGGATGATGGGGCCTTGGGAGAACCTGGAGGAGGCATTACTGTCATTGCAACTGGGGTCATCGCTGAGGGCTTTTGGGACATTTGTAAAACCCCATCTAGGTCTGAGCATCCTCCAGCTCCCTGGGAGATACTGTGGCCGGGGAGTTGCTCCAGCTTTGGGGTGTCCCCATGCTCACTCCTTGACCACTCCTTGGGTCTGCAGCCCTTCAGCTTCCTGGCCCCCCCACCCATTAGTGCCGGGTCCCCAGAGCCCTAGCCACAGGTCCCTCAAGGGCTCCCCACTCCGCCCGGATGGGCCACTTCTCTGTGGTCCTCACCGTGAGTCATGGGGGGTCGGCTGGGCCGTCTTCGCTATCTCGGGGAACCGGAGATCCCCTTAATTCTCTCCAGCTGCGTCTCTGCAGGACTGAGGTCATCGGTTCTGGCGCAGTTGGAAGGCAGCGTTTGTTGTGTCTTTGTTTCATTCAGATGGTTTGGGCGGTGACTCACCCCGTTTCTCCTTCCTTTCTTTCTGAACCAGGGCGCCGTCTGAGAGTCGTTTCTGATTAGAAGTTGACCTCAGAAGTATGCTCGCATCATTTTAAAAATATCTTCCAGCACCACAGAAACCGACTCCGCATAAGAAGGGGCACTGGGTGGACGCAGGCCAGAGCCGGGCGTGTGTGCGCCTGGCCTCCCACGGTGCTCTCGGGGCACCGCTGGCCTGAATCTGAGTTAGGGCGCCATCCCCCCATCGAGGCCCCGGTTACACATATTGACCTGGAGCCGACTGGGTGTGACGATGATGTCATCATCGTCATGTACGTCACTAGCTAATATTGACCAGTGCTTATTATGGGCCATGCGGTTCCTAAGGGAGTCACATTAAGTGACCTCATTTCATTGTCACAGCGTCCTGTCAGGTGGGTGCCACTGGAGTTTGAGGTCTGAGTGGCATTGCCGAGTACTGCTCAGGAGCTGGACGGGTCAGGTGCACGGTCTGTGCCCTTGACCCCATAGTCAGGACTATCCAGGGGGTCAAGTCAGAAGGTCTCGTTAGGAGCTCGAAGCCGGTCAGTCCTGAGGCAGAAGGTGCGAGCCGGTGAGTGCATGGGAGAGGGAGGTCAGAGGGGGTGAGCAGGGCCAGAGTGGGGTCAGAGGTCAGTGTTGACAGGAGAAGGGAGCAGGAGATGGGCAGGTGGCCGCACGGGTGTGTGGGGCAGCAGAAAGCTGCAGTCGACCAAGGACGTGGCGCTCTGTTTTTATTATCTGCTACATCTCCAGCATGTGCCAGACGGCGGGTGGAGGCAGGACAGGCACGAAGTGTCCATCTCCCCAGAAGTCCACGGGCTACAGGGGGAGACGTGGCTCAGGGAACCAGAGTGGGTTAGGGAACGCCGCCACGGCAGCCGCTTCGGAGTCGGGCACGGTGGGGAGAGAGCGCACCTGCCTGTTGAGGTGAGTTTCACACCTGTGTGTCGGGTGTCGCTCTAGTGGGCAGGGTGTGAGCTGAGGGAAAGGGAGTTCGGGAAATGCTAAAGGTCGGTTAGAGCCACCTGTGCCGGGCTAACGTAGCGGCCGTGACGACCCTGGAAGAGAGGCGCGGAGTCTCGAATCTCTGTCGCGGTGAGTGGCCGGAGCCCCAAAGGCACGGAGGGCCACGCAGGCCACTCCTCTCGCAAGAGCAGCTCGTCAGAGGGCACCTCCTCGGGCCCGCGTCTCGTGAGCCCTTTCACGGGATGTTTGAGTACTGATAAATCGTCTGTGGGTGGTCAGTATATTAGTTTCCCAGAGCGGCCATAACGAGTCGCCACAAACCCAGTGGCCTGAGCAACAGAAACTTGCGCTCTCAGCCTGGAGGCCGGAAGTTCGAAGTCGAGGTGTTGGCAGGTCCACGGTCCCTCCAGTAGCTCCAGAGAGGAATCCTGCATCGCTGTGCCCGGCCCCTGGTGGCTCCAGGCCTTCCTTGGCTTGTGGCAGCAGAACCCCAGTCTCTGCCTCCGCCTTCACGTGGCTTCTCCATCGTGTCTGTTCCTCTTCTGGTAAGGACACTGTCATTGGATTTAGGGCCCACCCAGGTGATCCAGGACGATCTCGTCTCGAGAACAACTTAATTACATCCCCAAAGACCCTTTTTTGAAATAAGGTAACATTTACAGGTTCCTGGAGAAATTGTTTTCTTTGGGGGGAGGGGATATCATTCAACCTACTACAGTCAATAAGGCCTATTCCCTCCACTGGGCGAGAGCTCCTTGAGAATTAATTCCTTCCTTCCTTCCTTCCTTCCTTCCTTCCTTCCTTCCTCCCTTCTTTCCTCCCTCCCTCCCTCCTTCCTTTATTCATCCGTCCATTCATTCCACAAGTACTGAGGGCCCAGGCACAGTGCTGGGCCCTGGGGACGCTGAAACGATCCCCAGAGATCAATTCCTGCCCCCCGTGGAGTGGACTCTGCAGTGGGGGAGGCAGAGGCACCACTGCCCGCTGCAGGTAGAGCTGCACAGAAACGAGAGGTGAGACCAGCAGGATCAGGGGTGGGCTGGGTGGACCAGCTCTAACCACAGAGGTCGAGGACGGCTTCTCGGAACATGTGACGCACAAGCTGGGCCCTGGATGCTGAGAAGGACCAAGTGGGAACCTCCCCCTCGCCTCTGAGCTGTGCGATCTTGGGCAAGTTGCTTAACGCCGCTGCGCCTCGCTTTGCTCGTATAGGAAATGCTGACAGTGGTGTCGGCACCGTCATAGCGCTGCCCGGGGACTGGGCGAGTGAACCCCTGGGCGGCCCTCCGCGCACAGTTCCTCGAACTTGCACTTGCTCAGTAAGCAACACTAACCCTCATGAAAGGAGACCTAGATGTTACCACGAGCCCACGAGCAGAGCAGGGCTCCAGCACTTTCTTTTGTTAATGATTTGAGGGATGTTTAAAAAAAAAACCATCAAAATAATCATGCAAAACTCTGAACTGTCTCAGACTTTCTTACTCTACAGCTTAATGTTGGGTTTGTTTGAATTAGGTTAGCCGCATGGGACATCCTATTCTCTTCAAGGTTTGGGGCTTCAAAGTCTTCGGAGAGGCCCGGCAGGAGTGCCTGGGGACGTGGGCTGCCATTCGGGGCAAAGCGAGCCAAGTCCTTTGCCTTCAGTCCAGGGGGAGATCGGGGGGGGCTCCTTCATCTGATTGACTCAGTAGACGGACTGCTGTCAGGCTAAATGTTATCCCAGGACAATGACCAGAGGGAGGGCAGGGAGGCGGGAGAAGGCGAGGTCTGGAGACAGCACCCCCAGCTGGGCCTCTGGAACTGTTCCTCTAGGGGGCAGTGGGGCTCCACCGAGAGTCCCCTCGTCTCTGGGGGACCGGGAAGTGCTCCTCACCTTAGAACCTGCCTCAGCCGTCAGCATAAAGGGCAATTTCCGCACACACGTTGCGGGGCCCAGAGATGTGTGTTTCACAGTCAGATGTTACGGGAAGAAATGCTCGCGGGGAAGGAAAGGGTTTCGTGCCGCAGTGACACAGGTGCTTCTACGAACACAAGCCCGACAGCTGCGCCCACTCGAGGGCTCCGGCGCATCTACCTTGGGCGCACACAGACCTCGGTTCACATCCTAACTCTGCCGGTTGGTGCTGCGTGGTTATCAGCAGGGGTCCTCCCTGAGCCCCCCACCTCTCCGGAAACAATGAGAGACCTCACGTGCAGGATGGCTGCGATTCCCGGACACGGCTTCGGTGACGTGATCCCCGGAGTGGGCGCAGCAGGCACCAGACACGTCCTAAGGACTCGCCGCAGCACTGCCGGCCACCCCTTCTTGCTCCCACCCACCCGCCTGCTCGGCCGCCTCCACCCTAACCAACCCCTTCTGCCTTCCACGGCGCTCGCTACTTGTCCCCGTGTCTTCTCTGCTTACAGTCTGTCTCTCCCACTGGCATAGGAGCTCTGCTGCCGTGTCCAAAACACCCTGTTCTAGGCGCACCGTCGGCATCGACACATATTTGTTGAGGGCATGAATGAATGAATGAATGAATGAATGAATGGGGCTCTTACTGCCGTCATCTGGGCTGCGATGCCCGCAGCCGTGGTAGCAGAAACGTCAGAGGTTGCTTTGGATGCATTATGCACGCAAACGCGTGTGAGAGCATTCGACAGATGGGAGTTCACTTCCCCACTCAGATTTCAAGATTGTCTGTGGCTTTATAATGCAGTCAAGAGCGTTATATAATGCAGTCAAGATAAATTACTGCCCGCCCCCCGCCCGCGCCGCCACCACACACACTCACCCCCGAGCGCAGCTCAGAGTGCCACCGGCCACCCACTTACACAGCCAATGAGGCCTGAGTGCTCCGGGCACCAGGCGGTCTTACCGTGGGCCCTTCCAGATGCCAGGCGGTCGAGGCCCAGGTCCGGGAGGAGGAGTGATTCAGAGAAGTGGAGTCCCTCTCCTGCATAAGTGGCAGCATGGAGGCTGGGACCGTCTCAGCTCTTCCTCTGCATCAAACAGCCAGGAGCTGTGCGTCTCTAGGGAGAGAGGTGGCCCATGGTGGGCGACAGGCCCCCACGGTGGCCAAGAGCGAGGGCTCCCCAGGCATGTGGGAGCACATGGCGTGAATCCTGGGTTGGCACCTCACCCTCTGAGTGGCCTCTGGCAGGTGACTTCACACCTCCCAGCCTCGGCTTCCTGTAAAGTGGGGGTGATGACAGCCCCTCCCTCCCACAGCTGTTGTGAAAACTCAGCCAGCACAGTAAACAGGAGTCGTCACTGTGCGGAGTCCGGAGTCGAGCAAAGCAGTTGCGGTCAGCAGAACGGCCCCCCATGACGTCCGCGCCCTGATCCCCAGAACCCGCAAATCTATGTTATGAGGCAAGGGGGCATCAAGGTCACAGATGGACTTAAGGGTGCCAAGCAGCCGGCCTTATAAGGAGCATCCAGGTGGATCCAACGTGACTACGAAGGCCCTGAGTCGTGGAAGACAGAGGCACTGAGAAAGGCTTGACCCGCCATTGCTGGCTCCGAAGGTGGAGGAAGGGGCCATGAGCCAAGGAATGTGGGCAGCCTCCGGAAGCTGGACAAGGCAGGGAGGTCCTCGAGCTTTGAGACGGAGCTCCCCTCGATGGGTCAGAGAGACTTCTGACCGCCCAAACTGTAAAATGATAACTGTTGTTCTCATTTCAAACTTGTAAGATGCAAGTTTGTGGTGATTTGTTCCAGCTGCCACGGGAAGCTCCCAGGAAGGGCACTCTGCCTGCGCCTCCCTGTCAAGAGCAGAATCTGAATGCAAATGAGGAGCAATCTCAGGCCTGCTCACAGTGAGTTAGGACGCCTAGGATCCCGGCCCTTTATAAATAAGAGACCTTCAACGTCATCTATTTTGGCATTTTAGAGTGAGATGTCCCCCGAATTAGTCCTGGGCAATGTTCCGCTCAAAATGGTCCCAGGGGTCAGCCAGTCAGGCAGTGCTGCATACACTCACAGTGCTCTTTAGCCTCTTGGAGGCTCTGATAAGGCCTGCTGCAAAAAAGCAAGAAAGGATCTTGAACTCTAAATCAGCACTTCCGAATATATCGTACTACGAACCTACTTAGCCC